GATATGTCATTTGCAAATATCTTTTCCCATTCCGTTGGTTGCCTTTTAGTTTTGTTGGTTGTTTCCTTTGCTGTGCAGAAGCTTTTGATCTTCATAAGGTCTGTCCTGGGGTTTTTAAACTGCAGAAGAAAGATTCTTTCTTGTGTAATATGAAGAAGCACAGTTGTGAAATGAAAACTACAGTCAAGTTCTCCGGCAGATCATTTTCAGGAAAGCACACACAGAGAAGTTGAGGATCTAGATGTTGATTCCCTTAAAACATCTATCTGCTCCTTTGTTTGAAGATCACTGCATTGGACTGCTCTAAATATTACTGATTCATTCTCAGTAAGTGGAAGTCTTCGTTCAGGAAGGAGGTGTGAGGAAAATAAGCTGGGAATTTGAAGGAAAGAGCCTTAAATTTCAATCAAGCCTAAAAAATTGCCTCAAATCTGTTGGACATTTCTGGATTGGAAGAATAGCTACTGAGGAGTTAGAAAGCAATAAGGATTGAGTTCCTGCGTGACACAAAGTCATTTTGCACACTAATGTGTATTGGTTTGTTATGAATTCAAATCAACTTGTTTATGACTTAAATGAAGTTGTTTTAATCCACGGGTTTGTGACAGACAAAAAAGAATGAAGTGGTTTTTGGAGGAAAGTTGTTTTGGTAGAAGAATGAAATACATTGTGTCAGAGTGTTATCATATTATCTATTTTTACCAATAAGAACTCAGTAGCTGAGCTACTGAGGGCTTATCAATAAAAACACGAAGAAGTAACTATGTCAAGGGTACATTTAGAACATAATTACCAAGGGTTTGTGAGGAGTATCTGAGAGTGCTTGGTCTGAACAAGGGACCTCTGCTGACCTAAAGAGATCTCTGAAAAAACCATGGGGCAATTAGCTTCTGCCAAGGTAAAGATCTGTTTTACCAACATTGAAGAAAGCCATACAGTGGCCCCATGAAGAACAACCTGTCCCTCAACACCAACCCCATAGTTCCCTAGCAACATGCTCTAGCAACAGGAGACTTTTACTCTGGGGCTCGCAGCTGGACATCAGCTTTTGGTGGGGCTAAGCCATCTCTCCCCAAGTACCAACTCCTATTAAATGTATACTTCAGGGGGTGCCTGAGTGGCTCAGTTAGTTAAGCTTCTGACTCTTGGTTTTGCCTTAGGTCATGATCTCACAGTTTCCTGGGTTCTGAGCTGGCAGCTTGGAGCCTGCGTGGGATTCTCAATCTCTGCCTCTCTCTCTCTCTGCCCTTCCCCCAGTTGTGCTGTTCCTTTTTCTCAAAATAAATTAAAAAAAAAAAAAGTACACCTCAACTAAATATGAACTTTTTTCCTTTCATCTCCCCTTGCCTGGGACAATAGTGTGATTAATCTATCATTGGTTCAGAGTATATTATTTCTTTATTGGCTTATTAAGAGACATTTTCCTGCATGCTATTGGCTTGTGAAATTCCCTCCGTGAATCCATATTAAATAGATTGCTGCCAAAGACAAAGTCAGTCTCTGAGCATAATTTGCCTCCTCAAAACAAAACACACATGTGTCTTTATCTTGGGAAAGGCAGTTTTAAATGCCATGGCCATTCATTAATAGCATTGTGAAAGAGAAAGTTGTCCCTTGGGAGAAAAAAATGATGATTGCCAGATCTTTTTTTTTTTTTTTTTCTCTATCATGCAAGAGCATTTCCCAGTAAGAACTTACCTGACACTCTCGGGGAATGTAACTTGGCTGTCACAGCATATTTACCTAGCAATCCATAACTGAGAAAGGCTCATATGGTTTACACTCCTGTGTATTGGAGGTTAACCTACAGAAATGGAAGAGGTGTTAAGAGTTCATAGCCTGGAAGACAAATTAACCTCAAATTGTTGTATCAACTCTACCGATATTTTATTTTGCTATCTGTACATTTACATCTTTTTTCCTGTAAGCACTCGTGGAATCAGCTATTTTGATTATTAATGTTCTCTCACCAAAAACTTTAATAAAACTTGGACACAGACTCACTCTTTATTTGTATGAGAATTTTATTTTTTAGCACATGTAAGGCCATTCTGGCTCTGAATCAGGTAAGTCCTTCCTGATACCTAAACTATAAAATCTTGGTTCCATACACATCTAGGTTGGACAGAAAAAATAGCTGGCCATTTTTTATTTAGTTTCATATCCGGACATTTAAAGATTTCTTTGTGAGAGGAAATCTAATGGACCACATGTCTTGAGACATTCCTAATTATTTTTCAATAGTCTGGATTTAGTGATGAAGGGAAACAAAAATAAATGATTCATTTATAGTAATACTGTCAAATCCCATGGACTGTATACCTTTCTCTCCAACCACATGGCACATTCTGGCTTTGGACACCAGCTTCACAAAAGCAGCATCTGCAGGCATGCAGATTTTCCAAAAAGAAAACTCAAATCCATATCTTCCTTAAAGGGTTTCAGAATTCTAGGGCACAGTTACTCTGGGAGATAAAGAAAGTCTATCAAATGTCAGCATGAATTTCCCCCTTACTTGAAATGACCTCACTAGTGTTGTCCTGGTATCCGGGATAACAAAAGCCCACCCTGACTCAGTGCATGCTGGGAGTACACTTGTCATGAAAGAACTCAAAAGCATGACTTCTCAAAGTTCTCCAGGTTTTTCTCCTACCTTCTTAGCCCTCCCTACTTTCCTCTTCTTTTGAAGGCTGTACCTTCTCTACCAGTTTCTTGAGTTCTGGGGTTCCTAATCCCTCCACTAAAGGGGAACAGAATATGCCACCTCAAAATGTGCCACTTTAGCATGAGGATTATTTCGAGCTGAAGTCAATCAAAATCCAGCAGATTTAAAAACTTTTACTTTCCCCCTTAAACTACCTAAAGGAATTTAGATAGGGAGCCTGGCACAGGAGAGGAATTACCAAGGACAACTTTATATCTGAAAAATCTATTCATATGGCAGGGCAAACATCTGATTTCCAAATATTTGCTCTTTGTATCATCCTGTGAATGCCCCTCCTCCCTAGTGAAGCCCCAGGCCCCTATCCTTTTCCCTTTCCTTAGCTCAGGATGGCAAATAAGCCTCAACTGCTCAACTTGCCCTCAGGGCTCCTATCTTTGAAGCTTCCATATGCACTAAATTAAATTTCCTTTCTCCTATTAATCTGTCTTATATCAAGTTAATTATTGGACCAGGCAGAGAACTTAGAAGGGAAGAAAGGAAAAACGTTCTGCCCCTAGACTACACACAGATTCTAAGCCATCTCATCAACTCCTAACCTCTGAAATACCTATTAACTGGTCTCTACTGACAAATTGGTGTCAGTGACCCAGCCCCTTCTCAGTACAAACCCACCTAGATGCTTTAATCTTGAAAGGCCCCAAATTAATTAAGCTCATTATCTCACCACTCCACCTCCTCCAGTGTCCCCATCCTAGTGAAGTGAAGGAAATCATCATTCCATCCAGGTATCTTCCTCACTACAGCCAGTTATTGAAACACACAGTGGTGATAATTTTACTCTTGCTTAAAATTAACCAATGACTGCCCATTTCCCATAGGACAAAACCTAAGATCATCACCAAGTCTCACAAGCCTTCCTTGATCTGGGCTTACTTCTCTGGGCTTATCTCCCATCTCTCAGTTTCCCCCACCTTGCACTGTGTGTTTAGTATCTCCTGTTTGCTTTTCCGGGTCCTCTCTCCATCCTTCTGCACCCTGCTCTGTGCCCCAGGTGGCTGAACTGTAGGAACTGCATCAACAGACTCTCTTGTCTGCATTAGTTGGTTTTGGCCCAAGGGGAGCACCTGCAGAGATAAAGAGGAAGAAGAGGAGCATAAGGTCAGGGTATCTATTCCCCCGGCATCTTCCCTGTCTTCCCTGTGAGATTCACCTAGGCTGACATTGACCCTCTATCACAAGGTCAGCTCTTTAAGATGGTCTGTCCAAACAGCCTCTCTAGCTCCAGGTTCCAGTAATCAGTTTGTTCCACTTAAGGCCTGGACGGATCCTTGTCCCAGAGCATAGCACTATCCTTTATATGTTTCCTACACCTTGCTTGTACTTTTATAACTAGAGCCACATGAACTCTCCTCAAATTTTGCAATTTTTGTGTGCACAAGTTTCCTGCTAGAACCCTGGCTGACAGGGTCTGCTTTCAGATCCTAAAATGTGCCTATTTGAACTTAAATGTTACTTCTTCGGGGAGGCCTTTCCTAGCCCTTTTGATTCATGTATAACTACCTGCTAAATCTCCTATGGCACTATGTACTTCTCCTGTCACTCATCCTCCATGCCTAGTGACAATCACTGAGTCGTGTTCATGTCACCTTCTTTGGAGGCTGCACACTCCAGGACATTAGGGATTGAGTCTGTCTTGCTCATTGTCATAATCTAAGAGTTCAACCCGGGACCTGGAAGACAGTGGGTTCTCAACAGTTATTTGTTGAATTCAAAAATGGATTGAATGAGTTCATGAATGAGCCCACTTTTATTCAAAAACAAGGTTGCATCAGAAAACTATAAAGCAAAATCTGTCAGAAATATAAGACTAATTTGACAATAATAAGTATGGGGTACTTTAATATATATTTCTCAGAGAAAGAAAGAGAAAGAGGGAGATGAAAAATAAACTTGTGTATATATATATATATATATATATATATACACACACACACACATATATATACAGCTATAGAACATTTACCAAAAGATGAGCATATATTATGACTCAAAGAAGCAATAGGAAAGATTCATAAGAGCTATATTCTCTGAAAATGCAATAAAGCTAGAAATTAATAATTAAAAGATAGTCAATAAATGAGTTGGAAGGAAGTTAACCACTTACGTTATTCTAAATAATTTCCAGTTCAAAGAACTAAAAGTTAAAACTGCGGGTCATTAAAAATTAACACTAATGATAACACTACATATAAAAACCCGTGGGTTTGTTCAAAGCAAAACCCATAAGAAAATGTGCAGCCTTGATACATTTATTAATAAACAGTCAAATAACGGAGCCAAATCTTCAATTCAAGAAATTAAAAAAGGATAATAAGCAAAATAAGCCAAAATGAAGAAGGGAAAAGTCTAATAATAAAAGTAGGAATTAATTTAAAAGCAAAACAAAACTTGGAATTTATTAAGCCAAGAGTTCTGGAAAATCTGTTAAGAAAAAAGAGAAAACACGAATACACATTAAGAATAACAAAGGTGATATAAGACCATCTCCGGAAGGAATTTTTAAAATTATCGATACTTTGTGTAAATAGACTTTGATGACATGGATAATTTTTAAAAATCTATAACTTTTCATTTGAACCCTAATTTCCTAAAAATTTATATTATTTTATAATTCCAAAGTCTGCATTAAATTATAAAGGACAAAACCTGTCTCTTCTATGTTCCCCACACACCCAGCAACTTACTACATATATGTGTAATTCCTCCCACCAAGTTGAACAAAACATTTGCCAGTATTGAAGTCTTTCTTGCCCTTCGCCCCATTTCACCCACTCCCAACCACCCTCTGTACCACTGCCACACCCTTTTTTAGAAAGTATCTTTTCATTATATATCACTTCAGTATTCAAAATCTCATAGTAGTTCCAATTTTCTACACAAAAGTAAGCCCCTTTGGCTAGCTTTCAGTGACCTCCATCATCCACTTGTCATTTTATCAACCCACCTCCTTTTCCAGAGGCTTTTTCCTAGCCTATGTTTTCTATGTTAGTCCTATCTTTCTTATCACTTTCTCACAAATTCATCCTCCTCACTGCTACCTCCCTATGTTCCCTGCAATGCCTCTGTCTCTCTCTGTGTCAAACATTATGTATTCTTCTGGTCTCAATTCCTCCACAATGGCTGCATCAGTTTCCTGCAGTCTCCTATAATCTGTCTCTCCTTTCTGAATTTATAGAAAGCCTATATCCCATCCCCACCCCCAAAAACTGCACTGCTTTCACTTTTTAACTTTCGCTCTTTGCATGTTATTTTAATCTTCCTAACTTACAACTCCATTAAGACCTAGACTAGATCTTGTGAAATTATTTAATACTCCCATCCCATCATTTACCACATTACCTGACACTTGGTGGGTGCTTGGTACATACCTTTGACTATAATGTCTTTTAGTTCTTCTAATATTCTTCATTTTCTCCTCAGGTGTCCTTGTTAAGAAGAAAAATCAGTACTGAATGGGTCTATCAGTTATAGAGAGTTCATGCAGGAAAGGGAATTTTAGTGGGAATTTGCCTGAGACAGTAGAGGATTGGGTTTAGGATTTTTAAAAAGAGAAATTAGATGGATGAAGCTGTTCCACATTGTCCCACACTGACTGCAGTGAGGGCAATGGGTAAAAAATCACTGCCACCAAATCCTAACCAGAAGCTTGTTACACAGAAAAGCACAAGACTAGGCATTAGCTCAGTAATTAGGCAATTGGGTTGGAATCCCACCCCATCGCTACACCAGCTGCGTGATCTTAAGCTTAACATTTACCCCTGTAAATCCCACTTTCCTCTTCTATAAATTAAAGATATTCTGAGGAGTAAATGCTATCATTCATTCACTTAACACAGTGCTTAGAGTATAGCACTGGTCTGTACATATTAGTTATGATTATTATCGTATTTTGTCTTTTTTCCACAACTTGTGTAAGAGGTATTTGAGGACCTAAAGAAGCTGTGATGGGGGGTTCCTGGGTGGCTCAGTCAGCTGAGCACCCGACTTCAGTCCAGGTCATGATCTCATGGTCCGTGAGTTCGAGTCCCACATCGGGCTCTGCTGACAGCTCAGAGCCTGGAGCCTGATTCAGATTCTGTGTGTGTGTCTCACTCTCCCTGCCCCTCCCCTGCTCGCACTCTGTCTCTCTCTCTCTCTTTCTCTGTGTCTCTCTCTCAAAAATAAATAAACATTAGAAAAGAAGCAGCAGCAGCAGCAGCTGTGATGGTGTTCTCCAAGAGTTAATGTGAGTCAGAAAAGGTATACGGCTTGTAGAAAGCCAAAATGATCTCAGAAACTAACCCAGTTCATCAGAAGTAGCTACTCATGTTTAGGGGAGTCCTAAAGAAATGAAACCTTCTCATCCTCCCAATCTCCACCCCCACCCCCAAGAGTCCACACAATTGAGACAACGCTGTTGTGGTGGGCATCTAATATTTTGTTTGCTTAGAACAGCAACTCCCTCCTGGTAAGAGATAAAAACTCTAACCATGTGGTCTGAATGGAGGCTGTCATCTTACTTACATAGCCACCTGGGACACCCCCAAATGACCCAGACAAGGACACATGCTCGAGCTGAGCCAATCACATCACGTATACTCTGCTGCAGTCACAGATTGACCCCCTGGAGGAAAACCTGACTCAGACTAATATAAGCAAAACCCTACCCCAGAATTTTTTAATTTGGGGTGGGAAAGAGGGATCCTGGGTCCTTTCTTGGTGGCTACACTGTGAGATGAACTCCAGGTAGAGAATGGTTGCCACCATGTCTCCTTTTTTGTGGTCTGAGTGAGTAAAGCTGATATGCAGAGAGTAGGAATCCTTGCAGGATTCAGTCCCCTGGCACCCTGGATACCTGAAACCCATATGTACTTCTGCGTTTGCCAAGGTTATAGGAGCCGATGGATTTCTTTTCTGGCCTAAGCTTATTTGGTTTTCTGTTTGTTTGTTTATTTTTTAACTGTTTGATTTCACATTTATTGCTTGCCTACTATGTATGAAGCAGGAGAAGATAACCCAACAAAGAGACAGGGAGCCCCGCCTGAAAGACATGTTTCATACATATTCTTAAATACACTTTTACCTAATTGAAGTCAGTCGGTACATATCCTTATTTATTAATTTATTTATTTATTTATGGATGGGGTTCAGGTGTTGTTTTAAAAATAGTGCATCGTGTTGGTGCTTTTAGTGCCTCACCCACCACTAGTCCATAGCTCTGGCTCCCAGTGGCTCTGAGTGTTGGCTGCTAACAACTCACGGCAGCGTCCTTGTCCAGATAGCTACCCTTGGCCAAATGGGAGTCATATTCAGTTGATCACCGCCCCTATTTTTTTACCATTCTCTATACTGCAAACCCTGCACAACGGGTACAAAACGCTAGCTCTCTTGCACTGGGGAGTGATCACACTTGTGGTCTCCCGTGGAGGCCACATCCTGGCTGAGCCTTCCCCACTTGCCTAAGCCTGCCTCCCTCACTCCCTGACAGGCTTATCCCAAGAGCACTCCCTTAATAAATCTCTTTCCCCAAAATCCCCATCTCATTTCCTAACCGGGCACTGTAGTTCATACAAATAATATATTGAAGAAATTTAAAAAGATGCATGCACATACAAACACAGTATATATTCCCAAGAAGAGATTTTTTTTGTATATATATTTCAGATATATAATGATTGCTATTTTGTTACTTCTGCTTTTGTCTACGTTGAAGAGTATTTACAGCTGAGAATTCAGCCCAAACATTATTTGTGCCGAAAGGGTACTAAACTGCTGAATCATGGTTTATCTGCTGTCTGTGATTCTAAATATCTTTTCTTTCTCCTTTTCTTTTTTTCCTTCCAATTTTATTTAAATTCAAGTTAGTTGACATACAGTACAGTATTGGCTTCAGGAGTGGAATTTAGTGATTCATTGCTTCCGTGCAACACCCAGTGATCATCAACAAGTGCCCTACTTAGTACCCATCACCCATTTAGCCCACCCCCCACTCACCTCTCCTCCATCAACCCTCAGTTTGTTCTCTGTATTTAAGAGTCTCTTATGGTTTGCCTCCCCCTCTGTTTTTATCTTATTTTATTTTTCCTTCCCTTCCTCTATGTTCATCTATTTTGTTTCGCCTGAGCTTATTTGTATTATATTTCTGTCACTTGACTAAATGTCCTGACTAATCAACCAGATTTTTAAGGATTAATTTGCTAAGTAATTTTTATTTTATTTATTTTTTAACGTTTATTTATTTATTTTATTTTTTTAAATGTTTTTATTTATTTTTGAGACAGAGAGAGACAGAGCATGAGCAGGGAAGGGGCAGAGAGAGAGGGAGACACAGAATCTGAAGCAGGCTCCAGGCTCTGAGCTGTCAGCACAGAGCCCGACGTGGGGCTCGAACTCACAGACTGTGAAATCGTGACCTGAGCTGAAGTCGGATGCTTAACCGACTGAGCCACCCAGGTGCCCCTAACGTTTATTTATTTTTGAGAGAGAGAGAGAGACAGAGCATGAGCGGGGGAGGGGCAGAGAGAGACACACAGAATCTGAAGCAGGCTCCAGGCTCTGAGCTGTCAGCACAGAGCTCATGGTGGGGGCTTGAACCCACAAACCTGAGATCATGACCTGAGCTGAAGTCAGAGGCTTAACTGACTGAGTCACCCAGGCGTCGCTGCTAAGAAATATTTAGAAACACCTTGTTGGCTTACAAAAAGCAAATTCTACTTGTGTACACAATAATTCTATGGGTTACTTTTTAAGTAATTTCTCAAAATATCCTGCAAGGGACACCGTTTCCACGCGCGCACATACATGCACACCAACTTCTGTTCAAAGCATAAGAGGAGGAACCGAGTTAATTGCATGAGGTGATTCCAAGCAGTTTTAACATCTGCTGAAATTGTGCTTCTCTGGAGAAAGCAAACATTACATATTTGGAGATCCCCAGCTAACTTTTAAGGCACCCAAATCTGAGTCTTCACTGAACTGGACAGAAAAGAAAGGAAGGAAGGAAGGAAGGAAGGAAGGAAGGAAGGAAGGAAGGAAGGAAGGAAGGAAGGAAGGAAGGAAGGGAGGAAGGAAGAAATATCTGCCAACAGTGACTCTGTGGCTTCATCTAGACTGTGAGCTGAGAGTTTATTGGAGAGGGAACCATGGAGGCAAAGAAATTGTCATACAACATTCAGGGATGGAGACCCGGCTCCATGTGACTCATCTGAGGTTCCTCGGGGAGGAACTGGATCACAGAGATAATGATACTCCTCCTTCTGAAATGTTCTCTTTGGACAGGGTTAAATGCAGAGGTAAAAGCAGAGCAAAGCTGCTGCCCCTGAGCACACAGGAGGGAAAAGACTGTTCTGCCTGGTGCAATGATTCAAGTGCTACTTCAGACTGCAGGGTACAGACAGGATCTGGAGAAGAGCCTGGAATCTGTTTTTATTGGCTTCAAAAGGGGCAATGAAGCAGGAGGAGGATTCACAGCTTCACTTGATGCCAAAGCCCGTGGTGGCACCCTGCACACCTCCACCTCCCAGGTGGCCTCTCTGCCACCTACTTTGGTGCCATGGATGCTCACTGTCCCTCATGTTTTCAGTCTGTACCGAGACCTGAGCTGAAGCTCTGGCCACCCCTGCTGCAGAGACTACAGTTATGAGGCTTACTGAACTGTCACTCTAACTCTTCCTGCAAGGAAAATTCTAAAATGAATGAGAAAAGATGGTGGCTTTCACTTTTATTTTCCTTACTGTGAAAATGTTCTTAAAAGGAAAAAGGATTCAAGGAGGAAAAAAATCCTAAATGTGTCTTTTTTGAGACTATGAGATCTCATTCTTTATGGCCTCAGTCAAAACCGTTAGTCTTCTATACAGAATGATTTCACATTAGTGCAACTGTCACAAATAATTCCTATGAAACATGGACCTATTATTTGTTTTAGATGTGAATACAGCATACAGCATTTACCAATGGATGGAGAAAATAAATAAATGCTTTATAAAAGAACATTCTACAAGAAGGTTCTTACCTTCCTCCCAAAGCACTGACTACAGTAGTTAATATACATATGGTCCAGATACTTATTTATATCAATGAGTGGAGATATTCTTATTGTAGGGCCTTAAAAAAAAGACAAGACAAGAATAATTGGACAGAGCAGACCATACACTGTTAAATGAAAACGTTATGCATATACCTGATCTATAAACCCAGGATACAAATATCGTCAGGTCTCTTTTATTTTTCCAGCTAATGGTTAGAGCAACTCTCTGCCAAATAAGCAGCAGGTTTATTGTCTCCCTCTTGAGGCTTTCCCCACTCCCGCCCTTGACCTGTCAGAATAGACAGACTTAGGCAGTGCAAAAAGGGCTAGCCCCACTTCCACGCCCACGAAGTGTCCCGCCACAGTGGACTCCTGCCTTGTTTCTTGCTGGCACTTGCCCCCCCCGCCATGGCCTGAGAAGGAATGCTGGACATCTACTGATCCAGCCCCTGAAGGGTGACCCCACTCCTTCAGGGTCAGCCTGGCCAAGGGATGCCTCACGCTTGGGCTTCCAGGGTTACAGAGACCTGTATTCTTCTTCGTAGACACAAAACCATCACCCAAGCCCTGGAAAACCAAAGAACGCTGGGTTCAGAGTAATCCTGGCATTCATAGGGTGGGTCCACACAACACTGCCTTTTCCATCCTCTGAGATCCATAGCTAAGTGATAAATATCTTTTGTTTTGCAAGTCTCAGGCCCTGTGGGTCTGATTACGCTCACTTTCTCCAGAGTGACTATTGGGTTATGCCCTGACCCTCTTAAGGAAAGATATTCTTAAAAACCCCTGAGAATCCTACAGCCTCTCTTCAATCAAGGTTACTTTCAGAGACTCAAGGGTGATTTATCCCCAAAATGAGACTCTCCGAGGTGATCTATGCTAGTTTTCTAAGAGGGCAACCATAATGGTTCCATAGTATCAATCTTCCTTTTCTAAAGGATGATAACTTCAGCGACTATACAATAGTTTCCTGGCTTTTCTTCCTAAATAATAGAACTAACCCAAACATTACCACTGGTAGGTCCCCTACTATGTGCTTTTGTGAAGTGAATTGAGCACAACTTAATACAATAAAATAAAATTACACATTAAGTTATAATCTCCCCTCTAAGGGATTGGTTACAACACGTTAGTTTATTGTCAAAGAAAGTAGTATCTACTTTGATATAACCTAGGTTTACCTTTTTCCAGGTCCCATTATGCCTCTACTTGTCTTGTAATGCTCTCGTTTGCATTAATGCAACAGTTTGCAATGAGAGGTCACTGCCTGGTTTAAAGACTCTGATGAAACCTCAGAATATTTCTAGTGTTTATGTATACACTTTCTCAAAGTCGTAATATCAATTCTGTATTGTTTTAGAGGCTTTGCTTCCCTCTAATTGTTCTCCAAAATGTCCATGGCTGCCTTTCTTACCACATTGGCACTGTTCACAGCTCTCCTGAAGAACATAGCAGAGTCTCTATCCTGAGTCTGGTGGTTTGTTTTGCACCCTCTTCCCTGTTGGGCAATGCTTGTGAGTGGGGCTGGGTTAGTTACTAACCAAAATCCTGAGCTCAAACAGATTCCTCCACTATATAGAACAATAGATCCTGTGACACTACATGAACATCCGTAAAATCCACACAGGCCATAAAAGGTCAGGGATGCGGCTTCTTGGTCGTTGAGTATGCAGTAGTGTTTGTATCTGTAACCTGTGATCCATTTTCACCATCATTCAGGAATGGATAAGGAGCAATGTACAGATACAACAAATAAAAATAGAGATTTATTCATATTGTACATTGGATTTGATACTATAGTCCCTGAATAACAATTTTAAGAGAACACAGCAGGACTGCTTGGTCTAAAGGCATTGGTGCTTCTTTTTTCCTCTTCTTTTCATATTTTATCATTGGAACTTTATAGCAAAGGAATATGATTTTTTGTGTGAATGAGAGACCCTACTGGTTGATGGGAGACCCAACTTACTGACTGGGTGAATAGGAGAAAATATGCTACAAGAGAAGAAACTTTTTTTTTTTTTTTTTTTAGAGAAAGAGAGAGAGAGAGAGAGAGCAAGGAGAGGGGCAAAGGGAGAGAAAGAGAAAGAGACTCTTAGGTAGGCTCAACACTCAGCATGGAGACCTACTCAGGGCTCAATCCCATGACCCTAGGATCATGACCTGAGCCGAAATCAAGAGTTGGATGCTCAACCGACTAAGCCACCCAGGTGCCCCAACAAGGTTATTTTGACTAAAAGATTCCCTGATCATCCCAAATTCGTAAATGTGAAAGCCTCAGAAATGACATGGGGCTTCAATTGTGCTGTGAGTTGCAACAGGAAACAGTAAGGACACTATTCTTTGCCAAAATTACTCCAGCAGCATTTGAAATAGCTTTTATGAAATAAAGTCAGGAGAAAACCCTAATGGCTAACTTGGAAACTTTTTAAAGGAAGAAATTGAATAAGAGAGCCATTCATCATGAAGCTTATCTTCTACAGCAAATCAGATTTTTAAAAAAATTTTTATGTTTATTTATTTTTGAGAGAGAGAAAGAAAGAGACAGAGCATGAGTGGGGGAGGAGCAGACAGAGGGAGACAGAATCTGAAGCAGGCTCCAGGCGGCAAGCTGTCAGCACAGAGCCCAACGCGGGGCTCAAACTCACAAACTGTGAGATCATGACTTGAGCCGAAGTCAGACTCTCAATGGACTGAGCCACCCTGGCGCCCCACAAAGCAAATCAGATTTTTAATAACTTTCCACCTTTTTCCCTCCCACTGGGGCGGGGGGGCGCGGCCCCCGGTGGCGGGCAGAGGGAGAATGGAAAATAGAAGGTGTATAAGAGCCCTGAGCATGGTGGTGTCTCACCTCAGACAAGCTGAAGTTGAGGAAGATGGCAAAGTTCTATGTAAACACCAGTAGTGACTGTCTTTGATGGTGGAATTTATTGTTTTCTGTCCTCCACGGTTTCCACTCTATGGGATAGGGTCAATGATTGAGCAGCTTTCTCAGTCCGAGGAGCAATTTTGGAAAAATAAGATACTGCAGCTACCAGTTAACAAAACTGTACTTAAAAAAAAAAATCTGTTGAAATGTGGCTGTTTCTTTGCCACTAGCAATTGTGACCCAACATCCTTGTGAGGCACTTTTCACATGCTCCCAAGCTCTCTACTACATAGAACACCTCCTAAAGATGTTACAGGGTGGAATCTCAGAAAAATCTAATTTTTGGATCTGACCTAGATTTGCCTCAAGACTGAGTGTCCTTGCCAGTCTGAAGAATATATTTTTTCTTATTATCCACCGGTTCCCTCTTCTTCTCCCTCTATTTTTGTTTGTTTTTATTTTGCTAAATTGTGAAATCTACTTAAACTTTGCCCTTTTCTGCTAGATAAGAACAAATTTTCCTGTCAGAAAAATCATCCTATAAGAATGAGATTTAGGGGCGCCTGGGTGGCGCAGTCGGTTAAGCGTCCGACTTCAGCCAGGTCACGATCTCGCGGTCCGTGAGTTCGAGCCCCGCGTCAGGCTCTGGGCTGATGGCTCAGAGCCTGGAGCCTGTTTCCGATTCTGTGTCTTCCCCTCTCTCTGCCCCTCCCCTGTTCATGCTCTGTCTCTCTCTGTCCCAAAAATAAATAAACGTTGGAAAAAAAAAATTAAAAAAAAAAAAAAGAATGAGATTTACATAAAAATAATTGAAGACAAGTTTTTTGGTCTACAAGAGAGATGCACAAGGCTTAATCAGTACCCTCAGATACCAGTCTCATCAGATTTTCCTCCAAAACTCTTAGAAAAATAATAACCTTGCTTTGGTCAGGACTTTAAGTGAAAATATTCCAGAAATACCAATACAATGTAAAAGCTGACCTTAACATTTCAATATTCAGACCCTCTTAAGCAACAGCATATTTTTAAAAAAATGAAAAATCTTATTTTTCCAAATAGGCAGAATCTCCACAGGCTAATCAGCATCCACAGCAACATGCTGGTGGGTTAAGAAAGGTCAGCTCCAGCCATGTACAGACCAAAAGCTCTTCAAACCACTCACAACCTCCAGCACTGACTATAATAACTTCCATATTTAGACAAAATGAAATTTCTCATGAAAAACTGACTTGGTTCCATCTTCCCTCAAGTCAAGCAGAGGCTCCATTCCTACAGATTAGGTTAAAAGAACTCTGACCTTAAATTTATAAATGTTCATAATGTACCTTGAATTTCAAGTTTCCTGAACTGCTACCAAAGCAAGCTTCCTTATTAGTGACTTCCTGTGAGGAAATTTTTATTTTGCATTTATGAACTCACTCTCTGCATTGTTATAATCAGACAATTGTTTTATATCAAATTTCCTATAACCTTTCTGTAACATTTAGCATCATGTCACCACGCCTTGATTTTGCCGTTGAAAGCAGTTTCACAAGGAAACCATTCGTGACAGGAAAAAAAAAATCATTGTTCAATCCGATTGAGTTTACTGAAGGAACAAATAATTCACTTGAATCCTCAAATCTCATCCTTAGTATAGAGAGGACTTGGATTCTGAAATTAACTTTTGAGTCTTCTTAGGGTCAAGAATATAAGCAAAGCAAACCCCAAAATAGATGAATATGACTCAGACATTTATTTTTTTAAAGTTTATTTATTTATTTTGTGAGAGAGACAGAGAGAGAGCACTAGCACGCATGAGTGAGGGAAGGGCAGAGAGAGAGAGGGAGAGAAGGAAAATCCGAAGCAGGCTCCCCACCACCAGCTTGCAGCCTGATGGGAGATTCAAACCTATGAACCATGAGATCATGAGATGATGAGATCATGACCCGAGCCAAAATCAAGAACCTGGTGCTCAACCAACTGAGTCACCCAGGCACGCATGATTCAGACATTTTACAGATAGCCATTAACTTGAAATTTAAAACATAAAAAAGTAAGCTCTTCTCACCTCCCTTACTGGCCCTGCACAACTTGTGAATACACAGATTTTTTATTTTCTTCTCCTAGGATCACTTAGTTTTAATGAAAATATATCATTAGGTGTTACAAATCCAGGTGTTCACAACTGAACCAGTTGATTTTAAGGGTATGATGGTATAGTAAGAA